CATGGCCAACAAAACAAATGGTTTTGGTGTTTGTAGGCCTCACCATTTTGGGGATGTGAGGAGTTGGAGGGAGGAAAAAAAAGGCATTAGGAATAGTTTCAGAACATCAACAGCAGGGCATATTTTGCAACAGCACAATTTCATAACTGCTTTTCTTGTTCACTCCCTCTCCAAAAAACAAGCATCCAAAAACAGAACCAGAAATTCTACCATGGAATGAGATGTGGCATGCAAAATCTCAGGGGTGAGGAGGGAGTGTTTTTTTTCTGGGGTGTTTGCTGGAAGAGTGGATGGTTAGTACTGAGAATCCCGTTTGTTTTAATTATGGAGTGGCTATTACAGCGCCATACCTCAGAAGAAACCATGACACTGACTAAACAAAGAGAAAAGGAGTACTTGTGGCACCTCAGAGACTAACCAATTTATCTGAGCATAAGCTTTCGTGAGCTACAGCTCACTTCATCGGATGCATACTGTGGAAAATACAGAAGATGTTTTTATACACACAAATCATGAAAAAATGGTGTTTATCACTACAAAAGGTTTTCTCTCCCCCCACCCCACTCTCCTGCTGGTAATAGCTTATGTAAAGTGATCACTCTCCTTACAATGTGTATGATAATTGAGGTGGGCCATTTCCAGCACAAATCCAGGTTTTCTCCCCCCCAAACACCCCCCCAAACAAACCCACTCTCCTGCTGGTAATAGCTTATGTAAAGTGATCACTCTCCTTACAAAGCTATTACCAACAGGAGAGTGGGTTGTTGGGGGCGGGTGAGGGGGGGAGAAAACCTGGATTTGTGCTGGAAATGGCCCACCTCAATTATCATACAGATTGTAAGGAGGGTGATCACTTTACATAAGCTATTACCAGCAGGACAGTGGGGTGGGGGGAGAGAAAACCTTTTGTAGTGATAAACACCATTTTTTCATGATTTGTGTGTATAAAAACATCATCTTCTGTATTTTCCACAGTATGCATCCGATGAAGTGAGCTGTAGCTCACGAAAGCTTATGCTCAAATAAATTGGTTAGTCTCTGAGGTGCCACAAGTACTCCTTTTCTTTTTGTGAATACAGACTAACAAGGCTGTTACTCTGAAACATAAACAAAGAGAGTTGTCAAAATGCACAAAGTAAAAAACAAATCTAGATAAATGTTTTTTCTCACTTATAATAACCTTAGATGTTATCTGTAACAATAGAAGGAAACAGCACTGTAAATTTAAGTTGGTGGTATTTATCTAAGGACAAAATGTGTGCAATATGATATGTAGGTTTGGAAGGATTAGATTTTTATTGGTAGTATACTAAACATCGATTTCACTGTGCACATACACACCAACAACAAAAAAATCTATCAAAATGTATAGATAAAATAAGAAAAATACTGTCTGAGAACTTTAGAGTTTGATTTAATGATATTTACTTTGTATATTTGGACATGTGATATTGACAATGTGTTAACTGTTATAATGCTTTAACTTTTTGAATCTGTCATTTCCATAGTTATCATCTGAACCCTCCCCATAATTTTCTGCAACTCTGAACATTTCAATCAATAAAAACAAAAATTCTGAAAACCCATAATTTTGCACAACAAAATGTAAATCAATAAAAATTGAAAAAAGCTTAAACATCAATATTATCAATAAATTTAAATTCTGTCAAGCCTAGACTCTCAACCTTTCCAGACGCCAGTACCCCTTTCAGGAGTCTGATTTGTCTTGAGTACCTCCAAATTTCCCCTCACTATAAATCTACAAAATCAGACATAAAAATACAAGAGAGTCACATCACACTTACTGAAAACTTGCTGACTTTCTCATTTTTACCATCTAATTATAAAATAAATCAACTGGAAGATAAATATTGTACTTAAATTTCAGTGTATAGTAGATAGAGCATTATAAACAAGTCATTGTCCGTATGAAATTGTAGTTCATACTGACTTTGCTAGTGCTTTTTATGTAGCCTGTTGTAAAACTAGGCAAATATCTAGATGAGTTGATAGACCGCTGTGTACCCCCAGGCTACACCCTGGTTGAGAACCACTGGTTTAGTAGATGTACTTCTGTGACATTTTGTACTAACCGTACACTTTCAGGACATACTTCATTCCTAGATTTGAGCTGTACTATTCATGCCTGGTAGTCATTAATATGTGAATCCCCATCACCAGATCTGTGTCTAATTGGATGAATTATAATCTTTTGGGCAGCCACAAGCAGAAATAGGTAGCTTTTGCTGCTGTGGATATTTGGGTATTTGACAGCAGTGAGGAGTCCAAAAGGAACCCTAGGCTGCAGATTGACTTAACAACCTGAGAGCAGATGCCCTTGATAATGGGGGATGTTATAGGAGAAGCAAGTTATTCAAAGCATTTGTCTTTTCCCACCAGCATTGCTTCAGTAGGGCTTGGGTTCAGCTTTAGCCAGTTGCTCTTCATCCAATTTATCTCAACTCAGCATTGAGAAAAAGGGGAGAAGATGCTGTTTATATTTCATAAAAAAAACAAGCGTAGGGCTGGGTGGTGTCCCTATACCAGAAGTGTGCAAACTATGGCCTGCAGGCCACATTCAGCCCATGGGACTGTCCTGCCTGGCCCTTCAGCTCCTGGCCAGGGAGGCTAGCTTCCACCCCCTCCCCCACAGCCACGCCAGGGATAGTCAGGGGACAGGGAGCGGTTGGATGGGGCAGAGGTTCTGGGGGGGGGGGGGAATGGGGAACGGGCAGGGGTAGATGGGGGGGGTACCGGGGGGGGGTGCTGGGAATGGGTGGTCAGGGGACAAGGAGCTGGGGGGGGGGGTTGGATGGGTCAGGGTTCTGAGGGGGGCAGTTAGGGGGCAGGAAGAGGGAGGGGGTATATAGGGGGCGGGGGCCAGGCTGTTTGGGGAGGCACAGCCTTCCCTACCCAGCCCTCCATACAGTTTCGCACCCTGATGTGGCCCTCGGGCCAAAAAGTTTGCCCACCCCTACCCTATACTATTGTCATTTCAGCCCATGTTGTCTCACTGACTCCTCCAATGACTTCACTTAGATGTTGAATAAGATGGAGGGGAAGACTGAGATTCCACATTATGGGATTCCATAGAGGAGGGTTCTGGGGGAAGAGTAATATTTTCCCATAATGATGACCCTTTGGTCTGAGAAGATGATCTGGCAGTATTACTTGCTATTCCGATTCATTTTCACTCCACTGAGTTAAATGACCCCATTCCTTTTATTAAACTGCTCTACGAAATGACTCACTGTTTGATGTTTCATAACACCAAACCAACGCCAAATGATTACACAAGCGCAAATGCAGGTTTGCATACTTTCACTTCTTTTTCTTGTAATATCTCCATTTGGTGCTCACTTTACTAAAGTGTGTTTCACTTTAGCCTTTCATGAATTCACTCCATTTCATGACATATAATCAGTCAAGAGAACACAAACAAGCATCCTCTTTTTTCCCCTTTAGGTAACAGGCAGAATAAGCTTGAAGTACATATACCAATTTAAGTAATGCATTTCCTCTCTAATAAAGCTCCACTAGTTTAAAATCATACTCAACCTATCTCGACCTACCTGGAAAAGCAAATATTGACAATATGAAATTCTGGATTTGAGAGGCTGGAATTCAAGGCCCCCATGAAGCCAAATGAGATAGGAACTGGGAAAGGGAAGAGGAGTAACACATGCAATAGTCCACTAGCTAGGGCTTGATTCATTGCTGCTGGCACAGGAGCCAAACTGCCCCAGAGGTTTTACTGTGGTAGGGCAGCTTAAAACTACTGGTTTCAGAGTAACAGCCGTGTTAGTCTGTATTCGCAAAAAGAAAAGGAGTACTTGTGGCACCTTAGAGACTAACCAATTTATTTGAGCATGAGCTTTTGTGAGCTACAGCTCACTTCACTTCATCACTGTAGCTCACGAAAGCTCATGCTCAAATAAATTGGTTAGTCTCTAAGGTGCCACAAGTCCTCCTTTTCTTTTTTCTTAAAACTACTGTGGGTTTTAGCACCAAAGGCTGTATCCGTGCATATTCTGGCTCCCTTGGTCCCATCCTCTCCCTATTTGACACCACCCGCTTTCTGTGCTTTGCTGGCCAGCTCCAGGTGCCACAGTAGTGGGCATTTGCACTGCTATAAACCCCCTTCTGGAGGTATTCTGCCACCATGGTGCTACAATCCAAGTTCCACTAGTGGAAACCTGTATTACATAAGGGAAGGTTACTAAGCAGTATTTCCCATCCACTGGCTAGAACCAGTGATCCTTCCCAACTGTTTTCTTGTTGTGTTCATATAAAAATAAAGAAGAGAGAAAGAAAAGGAAACTTTCCTGAACATTTTAACTGTAACACTTCAAATGACAGCAAGCCCCTAAAAATTAATTGTTGATCCAACAAGAACATTATTAGCATACATTTTATAGCATTTGTATTAATAATTATCAACATGTCCCTCAAACTATACTATGTATCTATCCGGAATCATTTAACCCAGCACTGAAATGAAGCCACCTCCAGTCTGTAACTCAGTAACCAGGAAAATGAAATGTACATAACAGGCAGGGCAACACTGTAGGATGGATAAAGAACAGGCGAGAGAATCCCCCTACGAAGAGGGCTGTGGGAGTAAGAGCATGCACACACACCCTTCCCCTCCCTGAAAGGGGCATTGCTCCCAGCATTTAAGCAGTGTGGCCTGCACCTGCCAATGGAGTGAGTGCAGGGCAAGACACGTTGTAAGGATCTCTCCCCAATTCCCATAAGATGATCAGAAAACACACAGTAAATGTTAAATTTGGCATAGAATCACAACAGCTCTCCCTCCTTCACCCTGTATAATCAAGCTATGCTAACATGGAGCAAATAAAGTAGCGCTAGTAATAATTAAACTCCCCCCATCTAGGCATCCGAGGAAGTGGGTATTTACCCAGGAAAGCTTATGCTCCCATACGTCTGTTAGTCTATAAGGTGCCACAGGACTCTTTGCCATCTATGGTGTATCTCACCTGAGAATCTCCAAGTACTTTACACACCGTTAAAGAGGCCTCCCAGCACTGCTGTGAAGCAGTCACGAGGACTGTGTTTTACAGATGAACTAACCACAGGTTGAGTGACTGGGCCCAGGCGAGGAATCCCACGCCTTGGCTGTATCGCTACTAGGCAATGCACATAAGCAGGTGCTGCTGTTCCTGCCGACCCGATGCTGGCTGCAATATGTGACACTAGAAGACGGCCTCCGTGTTGCCAAACCCAGCACTGTGTGGCACCCTGGGGCTAAGCCCTCTTGCTGTTACCAGTGTCTCATCGGCCACGAGGTGTGGTATAAGGTGCCATTTCCCTCCACCCCTGCTGCTACAGCCGGGCCGATCGACTTGCACGGGTGACACCCTCCCCTTGCTCCTGCGGCAACTGTGCTTACTGAGAGCTGCTTCCCTTCGAAATTAGCCGTTTCCGCCTCCCCGCGCCTTAATCCGGAGCCACTGACGGAAGAGTCTCCGCCACAAACTCATGCCCGGGGAGAGACTCACCCGCTGCAGCGGCCCGCAGCTCGGCGAGGCAGAGGAGAGCTCTAGGGACCCGGCAGGGGTGCGGCGTCCCTCCTACGCGCAGGGGAACCGCAGGAGCGGCGGCGGCATGGCAATCGGGGGCGGAGCTGGATGCTTTGGTGGCGGCCCGGCCCGGGCCAGCTCCAGCACGCACGGGGGGAGGAAGGGGGTGGGTGGTTTGGGGAAGTCATTATGTGAGGCTTTTGTTGTCGCTGTTTGTCTCAAGCCTCTCCCGCTGCGGCAGGAGGCGGAGGAGTTTGCAGAGCCGTTTACTGTATTTGAAATTTCAGCGCACTCATAGGAGTGGCCTACCCGAAAGGATCGCACAGCTCCAAGGTTAAATGGTCTAAGTTACTGAGCCCCTTTGGTTCTGAAATAGTTTAAGGTGCCCACGCTATCCAGGGTAAAAGGGTCCAGCTTGTCCACACCCAGCACTCCCTCCAGCGACTGCTGTGGCTGAAGATTGCAGCAGTAGCTCTTCTACTATTCCAGACCTAGTTCTCTCCTCTCTTCATTTCGTATTTCAGAAGGAGACCTGGTGGTTTAAAAAAATGGGGAGAAAATTTATTTTAAAACCAAGTTTTTAAAAAAGTCGAAATAATAAAAATATACAAGTTTTACTTTTAATAGGATATGCTGGGTCTTTATTGATGTAAGGGAAGGGTGCCAGTCTGAGCCAAGACCAGCCAAGTACAACCTGGACTTCTGCTGGGTCTGTGTGGAAATGGTATGGGAGGTGTGCACTGAGCTGTCACTAAGGGATGGGCAGTAGTATCATGCACCTGCACATGAAGGATCACTTCAGTCTAGAGTAGCACAAAAATGGTTCTAACTGAACCAGTGCAGTCTACAGTGGGTAGAAAACTTTTTTGGATCTACTGTACTTGTAATGGTACTTATAGCACGTTACAAGTGCTTTTGTATGTGCAACCCCCCCCCCCCCGAAATCTCAACTTAACTCCTTGTGTAGAACTCATCAATTAAATTGTTTTTAATTGTTCACTTTATTAATATAACTTCATAAGCAAAGCTTTATGAATGAAACAACATTCATTCATAAAACTGATTACCCCAATAACTGGCTAATTGAGTTTCACTTTCAATCCAATTGCTGCTTAAATCACTGAAACTTACACTGTTTCAACATTGTAACTTCTGCTCATTGTTTGTCATTCCTTACACTTATCCATATTGTAACTCAAACTCCATTTTAACTTGTCCCAAATTCCATTTTAAAATGCTCACTTCATTTTGTAAAAGCTTGCTGCAACCTTCATTTTTGCAAAACCCTGCTGTAATCTTATTAGTTTAGTTTAGATGTGTGAATGAGGATGTATGGATGATGGAATCAACCTCCAGCCCCAGCCTGTCCTGATGAAATAAAGTGTAAACACCCAACGGCTGAAGATGCAGACAACAGCCCTGACAAAGTAAGAGAAGTCCACCCTCAAAAGAAAAGAACAAAAGTACAATTGAAGAAACATCAAAGCCAGGTCCTAGGCTGAAAGTCATGCCTGCAATTGAAGGGTGATCAATCACACCGGTCCCAGAGGCAGTGTAACCTATAGACTCTGGATTCAAACGAAAGCCTACAAAAAGGAGGGTCAGATGGAAGACTTTGAAGAGTAACATTCTGCTGCTAACATGGAAAGGCATCGGTGCATGCCCAACAGAGACCCCGCTCTTCCTTGTGCCCCGCTTTCCTGGCCAGTTAGCTGCCACAAGCTACAAACCCAAGCCACGAACTCAAGCTACATTCCGGACTGGTAACTATACAGCAGCTGCAGAACCTATGTGTGTGTATGAACGAATGTGTGAATGAATGTGAAGCTGAATGAAATGTTATAGCTATAACTGACTGCCTACTATGATTCTTTTTGTATTCACAAAAGATCCTGATGTTTTTTATTTTACTGGTATAACACTTGTGGTGTTCCAGCACCTAGTGGATGATACCTGCTCCCTCAGGATCCAGTACCTTCCCCACAGTCCCATTTATCAATTAAGGGAAGAGGGAGTTGAGGGAGACTAGCTGGCCCACCTGAAAGGGATCCTGCCTGCTTCTATCTCTGTATCCTAGGAGACATAAAAAAAGAAAACCATTAGTTCACCAATAAAAAACTAATCCAATCCCTCCAATATTAAGGGCACAACACCTAAGGGTTATGTAATAAATACCTGGGAAAGAAAAAGAAACTACCTTGCATTTCCTATCAACAATAGGAATATCCCAGAGGATTATGAAGATCAAAACAGTAGCTCTCTTCAGCTTTCATTTTCAGTAATGACTATCAATTATTTGAATATAATTCCAGCTACATTTTCTTCTCAGGAAAAAAAATATCAAATATATTAGAACAGCCCCCCATTGAAAGTAACATATTCCATCTGATCTCTTTGCTGTTTAGTTTGTCTGCTTACTTGAACCCTTAGGTTATGGAGTATGCAACCATGGACCTCTTTGTAGGCCTGTTTGAATTTGTAAATGTCTTTGGTACAGAACCCAACTAAAAGATTTGCCTAAACTGTTACATTAAGCTGAGTTAAGGGTTACAGTTACAATCCATTTTTCTGTCCATCTGAGAGGAAGAAGTGGATCCAGACAAAGTGCAGCCCCATTTACTCCTTAGACATCTTAATAGCACGCTATTGGCACTTGGTGGTCAATAGTACTGAGAGCCACTCAGTGACCTCAAGCCCTATAAGTGTGGTGTGGTGGTTTCTGTCCAAAACAAGACTGTGCAACCTCTCCAACAGGGCTCTCTCTGTGTTGCACCCTGGCCTGAAGCCTGAGTGTGAATTTTAATAAATCATGTTGTAAAGGTTCTGCAGTTACTTGGTAAACAGGTTGCTCCAATAAATAATTTACAGGAACAGTTTAAGAGCAAGAAGCTCAAGGCCAGCCCTCAGTGTAGGAAGTGGGTAGCCCCTGTGGTGTTACAGACAGTGCTTAAAAGTGGCCTGAAAAAAGTGACAGGGCTGTTATAATTTGGGAGCACGACTTTGGTGAGGCAGAGCTCACAGTGCACCCCTCAGCTCCATTGCTATGTTATTTTATTGCCTGATCCAGGAGTTGTGACTCCTCCCCCCGCAAAGCACTGGTTGTTAGGAGCTAAAAGTCGGGCGGAAGGGACTAATGAGGAGGTGGGACTGAGCGTAAGGCAGGCCCTGGTGTGGTTATGGAGAGGTGCGGGTGGGGTGGCCTTTGACAGGGGGAGGGGCTGCTCCCGGTGTGTGCGGTGGGGCTCTCCGGTGGGTAGAGAGTACGGGGGGGGGAGGGGGCTTTTTAGTTGGGCGGAACCTTTCTCTCGCCTCCTCTTTCCCGGCGCGGGGAAGCCTTTTCCCCCCGGCCTCAGGCGCGCGCCCGGAGCTCCATGTGGGGCCGCCAAAGCCGCGCAGGGCTGAGTCCGGTTGCCGTAGTAACGCGGGCTTCGGTGTGGGCCGGACGGGGCTTCGCCTCCCTCGCGGGACCGGCGATGGGCAGCTGGGCCGCGGCGGGGCGGCGGCTGAGCGGCTGCCGAGCGCGCGCCGGAGCCCCCGGGCGCGGGGGCAGCTCGTGGCCCGGCGGGGGCCGAGCCGGGAAGCTGAGCGAGCTGCTGCAGAGCTCGGTGGCGGGCGAGGAGGAGGAGGAGCCGGCGCGGCGGCGGCGGCCCCCCCCCCAGGAGGGCACGGTGCTGCTCTTCCCCGGCCAGGGCAGCCAGTTCGTGGGGATGGGCCGGGGGCTCCTGCGCTACCCCAACGTCAGGGACATGTTCCGGGTGGCCGAGAAGGTGCTGGGCTACGACCTGCTCTCGCTCTGCCTGCGGGGGCCGCCGGCCGAGCTGGACCGCACCGTGCACTGCCAGCCTGCCCTCTTCGTGGCCTCCCTGGCCGCCGTCGAGAAGCTCAACCACCAGCAGCCCAGTGTGAGTGGCCGGGGTGGGGGCGGGGCGCCCAGCCCCGGGCTGCCCTCCTCGACTGGGGCGTGCCCCGGCCCGCGGTCCGGTGCGGGCTTGACGCCCTGGCGTCCCGCACCGCGCTCTCTGGGCGGAGGTATCCGCCGCCAGGGTGGGCACCCCTGTGGGGTGGACCAGGGCCAGCTTTCTAGTTAGGCACATCATGCCTAGGGCAGGGTGACCAGATGTCCTGATTTTTACAGGGACGGTCCCGATACTGGGGGCTCTTTCTTATATAGGTGCCAATTAACCCCCACCCCCGTCCAGATTTCTCACACTTATTGCCTGGGGTCACCCGAGTAGGGGCCGCGATGCTTAGGGTTGCCAAGGGTCTCTAATCCCACAAACCCAAACACCCTGGCCTCGCCCCTGCTCACTCCATCTCCCCTCCCTCTGTCACTCGCCCTTCCTTTCATCAGGCTGCGGGAGGAGGTACAGGCTGCTCTGGGAGGGAGTTTGGGTGCAGGAGGGGGCTCAGGGCTGGGGTGCAGGAGGGGATGAGGGGTTCAGGCTCCAGCCGGGCAGGGCTTACCTCAGGTGGCTCCCGGAAGCGATCGGCATGTCCAGCTCCTAGGTTCAGGGTTGGCATATGGCTCTGCGCACTGCCCTTGCCTGCAGGCACCGCCCTCGCAGCTCCCATTGGCTGTGGTTCCCGGCCAATGGGAGCTACGGAGTCGGAGCTCGGTACACCAACTTTCTAATCACACAAAACCAAACACCATAGGCCTGCCCCTTCCCCAAGGCCCTACTCCTTTGCCCCTTCCCCAAGATCCTGCCGCCGGCTCACTACGTTTCTCCTCCCTCTGTGGCTCGCTGTCCCCCACCCTCACTCACTTTCACTGGGTTGGGGTGTGGGATGGGGTGAGGGCTCTAACGGGGATGCAGGCTCTGGGTTGGGGCCAGAAATGAGCAGTTCAGGGTGCGGGAGGGGGCTCCTGGCTGGGGCAGGGAGTTGAGGTGCGGGAGAGGGTGAGGGCTCTGGCTGGGAGTGTGGTCTCTGGGGTGGAGCTGGGGATGAGGGGTTGGGGGTACAGGTGGGGGGGGGGGGGGGGGGGGGGGGGGGGGGGGGGGGGGGGGGGGGGGGGGGGGGGGGGGGGGGGGGGGGGGGGGTGGCTCCCAGACAGCAGGGCTAAGGCAGGCTCCCTGCCTCTCCTGGCTCCATGCTGCGCCCTGGAAGCAGCCAGCTAGGCCAGGGGGCTAGGAGACTCTCTTGTCTGTAGGCACTGCCTCCCCCAGCTCCCCCTGGCCACAGTTCCCGGCCAATGGGAGTGCAGAGCCATTGCTCGGGGCGGGGGCAGCACACAGAGCTTCCTGGTTCCCCTTCCTAGGAGCTGGACCTGCTGGCCACTTCCGGGACGCAGCGCAGTGCCAGGACAGGTAGCCTGCCTTAGCCCTGCAGTGCTACCGATTGGACTTTTAACGGCCCAGTTGGCGGTGCTGACAGGAGCCACCAGGGTCACTTTTTGACTGGGCATTCCCATTGAAAACCGGACACCTGGCAGCCCTAGGCAGCGCACAGAGACCTCCTGGCCGCCCCTGCACCTAGGAGCCAGAGCAACGTGCCTATCGCTTCCGGGAGCCATGTGGAGTCAGGGTAGGTAGGGAGCCTGCCTTAGCCCCACTGCACTGCCAGACTTTTAGTGGCCTATTTAAATCTCCCGGATTGGTTTCAGTAGCCTCTTGGAGATGGAGGCTGATTGTGGGAGACTCTTGGCCTGCCGGTGTTCTAGTGGCACCTTACTTCTCTAAGGTTTCAGAGTAGCAGCCATGTTAGTCTGTATCCGCAAAAAGAAAAGGAGTACTTGTGGCACCTTAGAGACTAACAAATATATTTGAGCATAAGCTTTCGTCAGCTACAGCTCACTTCATCGGATGCATGCAGTAGTACTCCTTTTCTTTTTACTTCTCTCAAACTGTGTGCAACACAAAGGTCAGCTGTAGCGGGGAAGTGGGGGGGAGGAGCTGAAGATGCTGTGCCTAGGGGCGCCTAAGATGTAAATCCGGCACTGACGAGGACCCCTCTGTGATACATTCATTCAGGTCCATCGTGTCACCATGAGCTCGCCCTGCATGTGTAAGCCTAAATGTTCCGAAGTGACACCTCATTTTAGGTGTCTCTCTTTTTGAGTGTCCAACTCAAAACATGATGTGCCTGTTACTAATGCTGAGTGACCTCCACTCCAGTTGAAGTCCATGGGAACTGTATGTGCTTAGTACCTTGGAAAACCAGCGCAAGGTGTTCAAAGTTGGGCATCCAAAAATGACATGGTTGCTTCTGAAATTTTGGGCTTTGGTTTTTCTCAGGATATCTTGATATGGTCTAATTTTGTTTTGTTTTATTATTTCAGGTCATTGAGAGCTGTGTTGCAGCCGCTGGGTTCAGTGTTGGAGAGTTTGCAGCCCTAGTGTTTGCTGGAGCCTTAGATTATACAGAAGGTACTTAAAGGAATATTTCTAATATATTAGGAATCATATTTCAAAGTGGTTTCCCCTCCACTCACATACAACTCTTCCAAAACACCCCTCTATGACAACTTTTCCTTGCTGCTTCACCTCCTTTCCTTCCGAATATACATTTCTAAATTCAGTTTCTGCTTAAGCCACTTAATACAGTATTTCACATTTAAATAAAAACCATTACATATTATATACGCATAGTCATAAAAGAAACATATTTTAAGCCTGATCCTGCAGTTTATTGCATGTGGAGGAAACATTTTTCTCAGTTGGAATGAAGTTGTGAGAACAGAATCAGTCCCTACTTTAAAGCTAGCTTAAATAGCTAGTTTAGATACTTGGGTTGTAGCATACAGAAATTGTTTCACTGTGTGACAGACTGTTAAGACGTTAACACTAAAAAAAAGTTTCCTAGATTTATTATTGATGAGGATTATAATTGGTTATAAATAAACTAAATTTACTATAAGCCTAGGAAACTTGTAATTTAATACATTACAAGAGGATTATATTAATATTTTTTATAAAATTTTTAATATCTTGTGAAAATTAAAATTTTGTAAGTACAATGTTAAATGTTTTAGTTTTTGCCTTAAACTTGCTTTCAGCAAATTTAGAAATGCTAAGCTACACATTTTTAGGAGAACATGTGATTACTGACTCTAAACACTGAGAAATGTAAATTATATGTAACTATTTTGAATTAAATATTGTGAAGCATTCACTGTTGGACTTCTGTAAAGGAAAGAGGTGTATATGAGAGGGATAAACACAATTTATATTAATGTTCTTTTTTGAAAGGTTGCTAATTGTCTACAGTATAATATTTTAATGAACTTAACCATTTTTTTCTGAAGTTTATGCTTATTTAGAATTTTTGTTCTCTCTCTAGCCTTGTACGCAGTGAAAGTGCGTGCTGAAGCTATGCAAAAGGCCTCAGAAGCTGTCCCAAGTGGGATGCTATCAGTTATTGGTCAACGTGAGTCAAATTACAACTTTGCCTGCTTCGAAGCTCGTGAACACTGTAAATCATTGGGTATAGAAAATCCTGTGTGTGACGTTTCAAATTACCTGTTTCCAGATAGCAGAGTCATTGCAGGCCATTTGCAGGTATTACTTCAAAATAAACATCTAAACACATTTTAATAATAGTTTACCATTCTATAGCTCTGTAGGAAGGTGAACAATATTGGCACAACTTTGGCCAATGTGAACATGTCAACAAAGTATATGGTTTGGGTTTCTGCAGTCCATGTCCAATCGTATGTTGTGGTCAAGTAGTACTTTTCTCTGAACTGCATGATTTAGGTCCCTGGGGGAGGATAAATTTAGTATGTGTTTTTGAAAGACAGACAAATCAGATTATTTACTTTACAGAATTCAGGGCAAAGTGATATTAATCAGGGCTTTTTCTTTTTCTTATAGGCTTTGGAATTCTTGCAGGAGAATTCCCGAAAATATTATTTTAAGCGAACAAAAATGCTTCCAGTCAGTGGTGCTTTTCACACAAGACTCATGGAACCAGCAACAGAGCCTTTGGCTGAAGTTCTAAAATCAATTGAGATTCAGAAACCATTCATCTGTGTCTATTCGAACGTTGATAGCAAAAAATATATGCATTCAAAACACATTCAGCGTTTGTTAGTAAAGCAGCTTGTTTCACCTGTTAAGTGGGAACAGACTATGCATGCTATATATGAAAGAAAACAAGGAGTAGAGTTTCCTTATACATATGAAGTGGGGCCTGGGAAGCAGCTAGGAGCAATCCTCAGAAACTGCAATTTAAAGGCTTGGAAGCTGTATAAACATATTGATGTTTCAGAAGATGAAGAAGCAGAGGAAATGTAGTTCTGAAGGAAAATCCACATGATTCCTTCCTCTCCCCCCCCCCCCGCTTAATTTTAAATGATTTTATCACTCCTGAAAGGCAGATACGACAACCCCTGAAGACTGAAGTCCTCTCTTTATCTTATCCCCAGAAGAGCTCGGCACACACAATTGCAATGCAAGGTTTCCTTCCCCATATTACAGCTCCAGCATGCATCAGACTTTACGTGGAAGGATCACTTCTAAGGTTCGGCCATTCAACCTGTCATTTCTGAGACAGCCAACAAAGATGCCAGTTCACTATTAGATTTGGGCCCGGTCCTGCAAGCAAATCCACATATGCAGGCCCTTTTACCCATGTGGAGTTAAGTTGAAGTCAATAGGGTTGTGTCCATGTGCAAAGGTCTTTTTGCTTGGATCTAGTTGCAGAATCAGGCCCTTTTTAATATTATTTTCTTTTTTGGACTTCTGTTTATTAGGATCAAGAATTAATTTAGATAAACTATTGGAGTATAACAACTTTCAGTCACTACCATGTTTTGTTTTATAAGGTATCTAATCAGTGGGACAAATAACTGAAATGCTCTTTTTTTTTTTTTTTTTTTTTTTAAATTTTGTTTCTACAGGAAAAGTTTATTTTTTTCCATGAGTCAGATAAATTAGAAAATTATTATTAGAAATACAGTTTTTTCTTAAGGTTGCATTAATAATACATTATTTCTAAAGCTCTTCCTCCGTGAATTAATGCTATCTGTGTAGTAATTACACAAAGTCCATCTGTGGGAGGAAGTGTTTTCCTTCCTCTGTGCTCACTGTGTTTCAAGATCATTGTAGAGGGTTTCCTTTCCTAAGTTACCAGAGGCAGATGTGACCTTTTTCACCTTCTAGCCAGTGCCACCCCTCTCAGAAGCTTTACCAGAATGCTCTACCACCAGATAGGTATAAATAGTAGGCTTGAGTTCCCTGTCTGTGGCACTTTTTTAGATAATACAACTCAGCCAGTTAGTTAGTTATTGGGCCAAGCTGATCCTTTGAACCTCTTTTAAGGAAGCAGAAAAATGGCTATACTAAATCTTTGCAGCTTCTCCTTACCCCTGTGCTTAGAATAGGGGCCGCAAGGAGTGTTCGAAGGTTAGTGCTAGAAAATACTCTATGTACTTCATCCTGCTACAGCCCTGAATAGAGGATCTTGAGTTTTTTGCCACAGCAATAGGAGAGGAATTCAGGTGCAGGAGGAGAGCTAGATCCTTCTACAGCAACAGTAAAATTATCTTCCCTTTCTACTTATGGGTTGGAGTGTGCTAAGTTGATGAGCAGATCGTATTGGTCCTCTATGCCATACTAGGTGCAGTTCCTTCCCTTCAGGTTAAACAACTGAAGCAGCCCCACTGAAGCCTCTGCGCCCATCAGTACGACTACAAGCTTACATTGTATATGGGTTAGGCTCTCTCTGAACAGTGGGTGAAATAATGGTGCCTTGGGCCCCCTTTCCACCTACTCAGCCAACTAGTGGAGGTGCCCATGGAAGTTATGGGGTGGCTGTTTGCCTCCATAACTAAGGAGGCAGGCTCTACTTTCCGTCTAGCCTTGCATGGCATTCCACTATATGGGATGATTGTTGTACTTAAGGCATATTGGATTATGCAGTGCCACTCACTGATCCTATCAAGGTTCTCTAGGAAGCATTCCTAGCCAATGGTTGATGAATTAGGCCCTTAAATGAAACAGGTTCTTTTCTTGTTGCTCAATGTATTAATGAATCTCCAGCTTCAAACAAGCATTCATTTAAAATAAAGCGTATTGTGTCTAAGAATTAATCTTCCCCTGTAGAATCCAGTCCTCAAACAACAAATCTGTTAGCAGTTTTAAATGTAATCCAAAAACAGAAGAGATTATTATTTTGAGTTTAGATGCTGCATCTCATTCAGTCTAGCCTCACAGCCATAGGGAAATACGACTCTGAAGCTTATTATTAAAGACAAGATGTTTGTGTCTATCTTCCTCAGACGGTACCAGACTGCCCATAGGAAAAAACATAGGTTTAAAAAAAATCGGAGAAGAAAGAACAAATTCTCATCTGGTAATTATCCCTGAGGCTCTTATGACACAGCCTTGAGTCAGAACTAGGGGGAAGAAGAGAAGGGTGAAGCCAAGCTATTTCCATGGCACCTATTTGAGACTGTTGAAACAATCATCATCCTGGATATTCAGCCCAAACATCTAGAGGCGCTTTATTTAAAAAAATGCAAAGCTCCATACAAGTGAGTATTTCTATCAATTAAAAAAGCTGTGCAAGCCTTTGTAATTAAAGGCAGAATAGAAATTCTCCACTGAAGTCAAACAAATGGAGTGACTAAAAAGTTCTGTTTGTTATTGAAGGACAAAAAGACTTGTTACCAAAGGTGGCAACTGCTGCAGCAAAAATTAAGGACATCATTGTCATCTCTTCTTCCAAGGCAGAACTACTAAAAGCCCCTGAACAGGAAGATTTGAATCAGTTCTCAGGTCTGACTGCAAGGTGGTGGTATCAGTCTTTTGATTTCCTGTAGCTACATCTTGCTTTTCAAGGGCCATTCTGGCATGGGCAGGTGAAGTGACTAATCTGAGTCCATCAAAATGCAAGAGTTTAAAAACAGTGTTTCAGAAGTCACAGCCTACCTGAGTCTATGTACTAGAGGGTTACCAGGCTGTATTAATTGGATCTAAACTTTGGATCCCACATGCATCTAAGCTGGCTGGGTCTGGGTAACATCCAGTCACTGTTTCTGGCTCTTGGACTCTGAGGCCCACGTGGTGCAGGCTTCCTGTCTGAAACCCATTCTTTGGATGGGAGACTCCACCATGTAACTGTGCTGAAACCCAAGACCATTGCTGAGGCTTCCTAACTGTCCCAAGTCACTTATGGATCCTTCCCCAGAGTCTTGACCCCCCCCCCATCCTCTGGTTTATAGTCTAATTTTTCAGGACATGTGTCAACTAAGCAACAGAGAGTTCAACACTCATAGCTACCACAGGAGAGTTACAGAACGACGCAAAGCAATGAATGCGTGAACACACAATCCCCACCTTCACCACTCTTGAGAGGCCTTGGGTTTTTGTCAGCATACTTGGGGAAAGACAGTGCTCCTCCACAGTATCTTGTATTTCTTGTGATGGACTGGCTAACTTGCTTAGAGAACTTGTTCCTCTTAAAAACTGTCTGAGACATTTTTTCTCCTCTTCCATGAGGGCTGTTCCATGCTCCAACTCTCTATTAGCTGTTAGGCTGAGGGTAGTGAAAAGTCAATTGCTCTCCTGATAGAAACCCCATTGCCTCCAAGGGTAGAATTATTCAATTGTTGAAGGCTGTAAAAGGGTAGGTGGCCCCTTAAATGAAACTGGGCTCGGTGCTCTTCTTCAGTCCAGGTGCTCACAGTTGGGCCAATTAAGAGGGTAGTGCAGCAACCCAGGGGGTATAAAAGGTCAGTTGGGTGTCAAAGCAGCCTGACTGAGTCAGTTAGGAGAAGACAGCTGTTAGAGACAGAAGTGGGTCCTGGGAGAAGGCTGAAGGTAAAGAGAATAGCAAAGGGGTTTGCTGGCTGGTGTCATCCAGGCTAGGGCTGGAGAGTGTTGGAAGCGGAAGTAGCAGTGGGAGTTGCCTCCTGGCCATAAGCTAGAACTAAGAGCTTGAGAGCGCAGGGGAGAAACTTACTGCTGACATCTCTAGTACTGGAGAGCTGGATGCATGGGAATAGCAAAAGGGCCAAAGGGAATAAAGGAATGCTTCCCTGGTAAAGATCCTCTCCCAGCATAGACTTTTTGGGGGGGGTTCCAACTAGGAAGAGCAGGTTTGTACTCTAGCTGGAAGGACTAGGGTGGCTTGCAGAGGGATAGAAGAGGCTGGACAAGGAGCCTGCATATGATGGAAGACACTGAAGTATGGTGAGAATGATCTCCTGGTAGAGGGACTGGGGGGGGGTTCCTGCTGGAAAGAGGAGGGGTTTAAGGACTGTGCACTGTGGGTTATATGGACTATGTTTTAAGAAGGTTGTTATGAATTACTTGCACTATGTATTGTTAAACTTAACTGACTAGAGGATAAGCTTGTGTGATGTTACTGGGAACTCAAAAACCGAGGTGGCGGGGGGGCACTTGCAGGGTTGCCCTGTGGCTATGAGGGTGCCCAGAAGGAGGCCATGTGGTTTATAATGGCCTGGGTTCAGCTCCCCAGACACAATCTCTTCCTGCTACAAAATGAAAATTCTAATCCACGCTGAAGACTACAATCTTAAATGCTATTCATAAAACAAAAAGAAATTACTATAATACATGGACATAGACATGTCCTCCAATCTTATGTGTAGTGGGAGAACTTTTCACTGTTGCGCTATCTCCAAACTCTGAGATTTCCAGTGTTATTAGTGGCTTTGAACACTGGTAGACAAACCTTTTTGCTTTGTTGCTGGAAAACTGATACATGGGCACAATGGCTCATTGATAACCTCAAATAATGTGATGGTAAAATAGGGAAAACTATACAGCAGAAGTGGCAGATAATGTCCCTCTCTTTTACCAAGCAACACAAAAAGAGCTACTCTGCAGAGCTACTAGTCTAGATTTGTGAGATGAGACTATGTAGAGGGAGATTTAGAATGGGAGGAAAGTAAAGAGCAGACAGTACCACCAGATGTTCTGCAATTAATATAGTTTAACCTGAGATCCTCTGTCTGGGGAAGTAGTGCCTCTAGGAGACAAGACAAAGATTTGCACAAATATAGGAGATGGCCAGTGTACACTACAGTTGAAACTTTACTAACAAATTTAAACATGTTTTTTGCTAGCACAACTTATGATTGGAGGGCCAGATTGGGGTTTTGCCCCTCCCTCAAAAAATTGATATCTATGACCTTAAAAAAAAAAAAAGGAAAACCTAGAAAAATGCAGGAAAATAAATGCCATTACTTATTTTCTTCTCAATAGTTGCACAGAAACCAATACAGTCAAAGAATCCTCTACAATGTACTTGATATTCTTTGTGGTCCTGAAACAGAATGGGGATTCAAGGCACTCAGTAGATTTAGTCAGAAATCAAGACCGAGATCTTAAATAACATTTTGTAGCAGCTCTGTCCCTTCAGAACTTTTACTCTTTAAGAGACCTAAAAGCAATTACATTCCTGGATAGTTATCTGCTGGATTGCTGCAAGTCCTAGCATTTCTCTTGTCACAGGAAGTGCTTCTAGTATAGGGCTTTTGGATACTGAAGTTTCTGAAAGTTAAAAAAATTCAAACAACTGATTCCTGGAGGGCTGCTGTGTTTACCTGTTCCTGGATAACCTTCAACTTTACTCTGCCCACTATATGTATTTGTATATAGTAGGTGTTGGCGGTAGCTACCAGTGAGGTGCTCTGCTCTGGTTCGATGATAAGTCAGCTGCGTATGTGTTCCCTCGGTGTGCTGCCCCAGCTCTGTGCAGACAGCTGACACAGCAGACCCCGAGAGAACCCCCAAAGACCACAGACTCTAGTAAGATATGAAGGCACTCGGCCAGGTTTATTGTCAAATGAAGCACAGTAATATTTTCCTATAGACTCTACAGGACCTTATACAAATATGTGCCCCCTGGCAATGGACGCAGCTCAGTCAGTGGCAGGACACTCCACTGCCCCCTAGGCTGGACAAAGATATGTGCTCCCAGACCTACTTTTATACAGTTGCAGGACAGATTACTCATCCCTACTGACGTATTGAGGTACAGCCCCTTGCCTCATTAGGGTGCTGTCTTCCCCCTTTGATCATGTTGGTTCAAACAAACAGATCTGTCCATCATGGTGTCCTTTTGACCCTGTCTTTGGGATGCACCTGGCTGTTCCTTGTTGTATGTGTGAAGTATCCTCATATCGGGCTGTCCAGGTGCCATCTTGGCACACATTCCTCTTATTACTACTTGTATCATTAGCGCATGCTTTCTAGGAGCCCTTTTCTTGCCAAGTTCTGCAATTAGGGCCTGCCTCTGGCTCACAGTCCAGCTTTGCTTAGCAATGCCTGGAAGTACTTTGGTTCAGACTTTAGGCGTCAGACCAGGGCTCTGATACAAGGGTTTATGTTTCAGGGCCTCTTACTACAGTAGGGCTGTCCAGCAATTAAGCATGACTTTTTTTAAACTATGATAAACAATAATAGTATACTATTTATAAAATATTTTGGATGTTTTCCACATTTTCAAATATATTTATTTCAATTACAACACAGAATACAAACTGTACAGTGCTCACTTTATAATATAAATATTTGCACTGTAAAAAAATTTAGTTCACCTAATACAAGTATGGTAGTGCAATCTCTTTATCATGAAAGTTAAATTTAGAAATATAGAATATTATACAAAAAAAACTGCATTCAAAAATAAAACAATGTAAAACTTTAGAGCCTACAAGTCCACTCAGTCCTACTTCAGCCGGTCGCTCAGACAAACAAGTTTGGTTACAATTTACAGGAGATAATGCTGCCTGCTTCTCGTTTACAATGTCACCTGAAAGTGAGAACAGGTGTTCTCCTAGCACTGTTGTAGCTTGCGTTGCAAGATATTTACGTGCCAGATGCACTAAAGATTCATATGTCCCTTCATGCTTTAAGGGACCATTCCAGAGGACGAGTCCATGCTGATGATGGGTTCTGCTCGATAATGATCCAAAGCAGTGCGGACTGACAGATGTTCATTATCTGACTCAGATGCTACCACCAGAAGGTTGATTTTTCTTTTTTGGCGGTGCAAGTTCTGTAATTTCTGCATCAGAGTGTTGCTTTTTTAAGACTTCTGAAAGCATGCTTCACACCCTGTCCTGATCAGACTTTGGAAGGCACTTCAGATTCTTAAACCTTGGGTCGAGTGCTGTAGTTTTCTTCAGAAATTTCACATTGGTACCTTCTTTGTGTTTTGTCAAATCTACAGTGAAAGTGTTCTTAAAACTAACAACATGCTGGGTCATCATCCGAGACTGCTATAGCATAAAATATGTGGCAGAATGTGGATAAAACAACGCAGGAGTCATACAATTCTCCCCCAAGGAGTTCAGTCACTAATTTAATTAACACTTTTTTTAAAATGAGTGTTATCAGCATGGAAGCATGTCATCTGGAATGGTGGCAAAAGCATGAAGGGGCATACAAATGTTTGGCATGTAAATACCTTGAAATGCCAGCTACAAAAGTGCCACGCAAATGTCTGTTCTCAGTTTCAGGTAACATTGTAAATATAAAGCGAGCAGCATTATCTCTTGTAAATGTAAACAAAGCTGTTCCTCTTAGCAATGGGCTGAACAAGAAGTAGGACTGAGTGGACTTGTGGGCTCTAAAGTTTTAAATTGTTTTTTCAGGGCAGTTATGTAACCAAAAAAAAAAATCCATATTTGTAAGTTGCGCTTTCATGAGGGAGATTGCACTACAGTACTTGTATGGGATGAACTGAAATACTGTTTCTTTTGTTCATTTTTACAGTGCAAATACTTTTAATAAATATAAAGTGAGCACTGTACACTTCATATTCTGTATTGTAATTGAAACTAATATTTGAAAATGTAGAAAAATACCAAAATATTTAATAAATTTCAATTGGTATTCTATTTAACAGTGTGATTAAAACTGCAATTAATCACAATTTTTTTAACTGCAATATTTTAGTTAATTGCATGAGGTAACTGATTAATCAACAGTCCTAGTATATAGTAATGTTTAGAGATCCCAGTCAAGAGTGCAAACCCATTGTTTAAAGCTCTGGGCAAATGGAGAGGAAAAGACAGTCTCGGCTCCAAAGTGTTTACAATCTAAGAAGAGAGACCAAGAAAATAAGCAGACAAAATGTAATAAAGAGAAAACCTTCAGTATGTAAGAGTACAATATGCAAGACTTCATCTTCAAGTTTATTTTTTCTTATATAACTTACAATTCCATAAACTGTTACTGGTTGTGGAAGTCTGCAGACATCATGCAAGATGTGCAGAGAATGAATTCTTGCCTTATTCACTCTGCTTGTACAATATGTACTTTAAGGTTGTAGAAAAATGTATAGGGATACACTGTATTAATTGGGAAGTAGTCTGATCATTTAACTACAGGCTGTATTAAAGAGGCAAAACTGTACAGCCTTAACTCAAGCGTCTCCTGAATTTGGTTTCTTAGTGGTTCAATCTTAACATCCTTGTAATAGGAGAAAACTCAGTCCACACAGTGAATAAATCTATTATAGATATATTTGAAGAGTTTAGAAAGCAGTGTTAAAGAAATTAAATTTCTATGTAACTCTTCATTAAAATATCATACAGATTAAAAGAATAAATTCCAATGGTAATCCAAGAGCACAATACATCTGAAAGGCAAAATTAATTGAAAATAGTAGGCCCACAATCTAATTACTGGAGTAAATTAAGAAGTTGTTTCTGTGGTCTGAAATTGCTCTTTGCCCAGACCTCTCAGTACAAATTCCACTCTTGGCATGTGTAAACATTAACTGTAATAAAGCAGACAAAGCCTCTCTCTGCACTTTATCTTCTACTATTGTAGACTGTCAGTTCAATGTTTAGATACGAATGGTTTCAGTAAGCATTCAGTAAAATATGCAGTGGATCACTAGACGGGTAATAGATTTGTTGGAATAGGTCAAGAGGTGGGGACTATGTGTTTTCTAAAGGTTGACTTACATGCTATACTAGGCATGTCAATGTAATGTTAGAATTTTTGCAATCTTAACAAAGTGAGGAGTCCTACCTAGTTTTACCTGATGTCTCATCTCTTTTGTGATGTTTCCATGCTGTCTTCACCTCTAAAATAAGATCTATTACATGTGACCTCACTGTTCCTAATGAGAGGGGGAAGGCAGGACACCAGTCTCTACCTATAAATGCACTTTAAAAGCAAACATTTTGTATTGCAGCTGAAAGACAAATGACTGTAGTGTAGTTTGTTACAGTGCAACTATCCTCTCCTGATTGTAGCTTAAATAATTTCTCCTAGTCCTGAAAAACCCATATTTCTTCCAAAAGGTGCATCATTGTTAAAAATATCACCTCCACTTTGTCCTAGGCCATCTGTTATGGAGGAAATTTGGGATGGTAGTCTTCTTTGTGGCTGTGCCTAGTGTTTCTCTTCTTACTAGAAAAGTCTTGTGTGCTTCAACACCCTGGCTGCTTATAAGAGCAGACTGGACAGGTAGAGCTGAGCAGAGCATGGCACAGTATGCTTTTGTGCTTCTAAAGCAAACCATAAATAGTATCAAATCTCATCTTAGATGTACCACCTAAAGTCCTATCACTTTTTTTTTTCTATTGAATAGTTTTCCAGGAATCTGAAATGCCAAATTTT